GGTCGGCGGCGGCGGCGGCGGCGGCGGCGGTGGCGACTGCCTAGAAGCACGATGGATTGCGCCGAAACTTCAAGTAGGATTACTTTTACCTTTTTCCCCTCGACTTTTCTTTCATTTTTTTCTTGCTTCTCCTTTATTCACTTTACTTGCGCATATTTTCTCGTTTGTCGTCTCTTTTCATTATGACTTATCTTTTTCACCTTACCTACACACGCTATCGCTTCAGTCATGTCCCTCCACGTTTATTTTATCACGTTTCACAGTCACAACCTTCTCGGTGTTATTTTTTCTTAGATTCCTTTCTCTTTCCTTATCCCCGATATCCTTATCGATTTGCTCCACTTTTCTTGCTTTTACCTGATAATTCGATCAAATCTCGTGCGTATCGTAAGTGAAAGAAAAAGCCGCGGACGTTTGTAGAATATATATCTCTACGCGTCTTTTTACCACTGTGCATCTACCTGTTCTACGCTCGAAACGCATGATGTAATTCAAACGATAAGCATTATGGGATTTTTATCTATTTTGTAATACATTTTTTTATATATGTATTACGTGTTCAACAATGAATACATTATGGTGTATTGAAAATCGGAATTTTGCATTGTATACTTGATAATTTTATTGTTACACTTCTGTTTTCAAGTAAATTTTTGTGTAACGACTTAACTTCTTTAATGTTGTTTTAGGTAATGGTGACATACAGTGGTGTTTTTCACAGGTGAAAGGAACATTAGAAGACGATGTTACTGAAGGTAAGTTCTAAATAGAAGTTGCACATATATTATGTGTGTATATTATCTCATCAATTTTCATTCAGTGATTGCACAAGTATGTTAATTTAGTAATAAAGTATTGTGATGTATTCTTTTTCTTCTTTCATCCATCTCTTCTTTTCTTTTTAAAATTACTTCTAAATAAATATTTTCTCAATATTCCAGAACACTTTATTGTAGTTATTTGTATTGCGTTCTGTTCTAGCTGATATAATCTCATGTGTTGAATTTAACCATGATGGCGATCTTCTTGCAACAGGAGATAAAGGTGGTCGGGTGGTTATTTTTCAGAGGGATCCTGTCGTAAGTTGAAGTATATTTGTAATAATATGAATTTTTTATATTTATAGAATTCTTATGTGCTATAAAATTTTTAACATTTCAATAAAGAGAGATTTGTCCTTTAAATAAAAATTATATTTATGTGTTAGTATTGGATTATTGCCAGATTGTTCTGTACAATATGTTACATTTTTCTATCTTTAGAAAATTTCTAAAGATAATCATTGAACATACTGAGAGGAATAAATATCTCGAATACTTTATTTATGTTTTATGAAATTTTTTAAATAGTTTCATTGTCTGTAGAAAGAAGAACGATTTAGAAAATTGATAGAAAAAAATAAAAGATATTTAGGATATTTTTTAAGGCCATAAGATAATTAGAACATTGTATCTTTATTTAGAGTAAAAACAGTATACCCCGAAGAGGTGAATACAATGTATACAGCACCTTTCAAAGTCATGAACCTGAATTCGATTACCTGAAATCATTAGAGATAGAGGAAAAAATTAACAAAATTAGGTGGTTAAAAAGAAAAAATCCAGCACATTTTCTACTTTCCACAAATGATAAAACAATTAAATTGTGGAAAGTCAGTGAACGAGATAAAAGAGTAGAAGGGTATAATACAAAAGAAGAAAATGGTACAATTCGTGACCCCGCTTGTATCACTTCCTTGAGGGTGAGTATTGATGAGTTTTATTGAGATTATTGTGATATTATACATATAATGTGGTAAATTCTAAAACTCTACAGTTTTTCTTTCTAACTTCTAACTATATAAATATAATTTTCCCTATACTATTGTGTTTCTAACAAAAATATTTTCAAGTGAAGGTCAAGGAGTTCAAATATGCACATAACATTATGAGGCTTGTGCATTTTGATTATCATATATTGAATACTTATGTATTTTGACCTAGGTACCGACTATAAAACCAATGGAGTTGATGGTAGAAGCATCCCCAAGGAGAATATTTGCCAATGCGCACACCTATCATATAAACAGTATAAGTGTTAACAGTGATCAGGAAACATACCTCAGTGCTGATGATCTTAGAATTAACCTTTGGCACCTTGAAATCACAGACCAGAGTTTTAGTATCCTTTTTTCTATGTCACTTAATATTTATTTTATTTTTGGTTTACAAATTCTGAATTATATTTATACATCTTGGATATAAATTTATTATAATGAAGTATATCGTTTTCTTAACAATGATACACAGATATAGTAGACATTAAGCCAACTAATATGGAGGAACTAACAGAAGTAATAACTGCCGCGGAATTTCACCCGGCAGAATGTAACGTCTTGGTTTATAGTAGTAGCAAAGGAACAATTAGACTCTGTGACATGAGATCTGCTGCGCTTTGTGACCAACATAGTAAGCTCTTTGAAGAACCAGAAGATCCAACAAACAGAAGTTTCTTCTCCGAAATAATTTCGAGTATAAGTGATGTGAAACTTAGTAATTCAGGAAGATATATGATCAGTAGAGACTACCTCAGTGTGAAAGTGTGGGATTTGCAAATGGAAACGAAACCCATTGAATGTTACCCTGTATGTAACAAAAGTCATAATACAATTTTCATACATCTACAAAATATTAATTGATTATATTATTATAGGTACATGAATACCTAAGATCAAAGTTATGTTCATTATATGAGAATGATTGTATCTTTGACAAATTCGAGTGTTGTTGGAGTGGTAATGATTCTGCTATTATGACGGGTTCATACAATAATTTCTTCAGAGTATTCGATCGTACAACTAAACGTGATCTCACATTGGAAGCAGCACGTGACATTGCCAAACCAAAAACACTTCTAAAACCACGTAAAGTAAGTATAAATTTTCAAAAACTATATAAAATATTTAATAAACTACTACTATTGTATTGCATTGTATACTATTGTATTGTCCATAATATATATTATTTGCTTAAAGGTTTGTACTGGTGGCAAACGTAAAAAGGATGAAATTAGCGTGGACTGCCTTGATTTCAATAAAAAGATACTACATACTGCTTGGCATCCATCTGAAAATGTAGTAGCTGTTGCTGCTACGAATAATCTCTTCCTATTTCAAGACAAACTCTAGCACATCTGTATGCAGGTATGTCTATTCAACGTTGTATCAAATTATAAATACAAACAGGAATATAAATTTTATTCACAATAATAAGAAAAATTGCTTTCCATTTTCTCAGATCATTCAGCGGTACATATTGACGTGAGCAAGGCACGTTCAACTGAAAAATCCCAATGGAACAAGGGATGCCTGAATTATACTGACGAAAGTCAACTATTAATATGTCAATGGTTGACTGACCGAAAAGTGGTGTACGTAGCGCCGTCCACACAGCTCACATATTCATACACACTATGTATACACACAAAGACATACAGAATTGCACGTAACACCTTGTCGCGCGTATATATGTATATAAATGCATGCAAGCAAAGACATATGCATAGCTCTCCAATTTATTGAATTCCGCTAGTTCAAATAAAATGCACGTGGAATCATTGCCCATTGACAAAGAAAAATGTACAGTTCAATCAATCAAGAGACTCGTGTTGGCGGTTATTATTTAAATATTTTAATAGAAGATTAATATATTCAGTTCGCTTGTATAATAGAAATTTTGATACCGTACAATTTAAAGTGCTTTTTAATATAGGTGATTTTTCTACGTATGGAATGGTATCTGTAAAAGAAACTGCATTAGTAGGATCAACTGCATAGAATTAAAAGTCGCTAGATGCGATAATTGTGTTCTCGGTACATGTGTGTAGCATATAATACCTTTGCTTAATAAATTATTTGCCAACCAAAATGCCTAGACATGCAAAATTAAAAGTAGAGATGATTATATGTGCCAAGAGATGTGAGATTAATGTGTAGCTCGTTACTATTTTATTCTCAATCCAGTATTGTTTTTCATAACTTCTCGCGTAGTACAATTTTGTGTTTTCGGTAGGTAGCTCATTTTCAAAATTAAATTTTTCTGTGTCGAAAACTATATCCTTTATATATCAAATTCGTTGCTGATTTTAGAGTAAAAATATTTTGATAACTATTAACAATTGCATTTAAAATATACCAGCAGTTACCATTAAGAAGAAAGCCGAGCTTTCAATTATTTCAATTAGTCGTTTGTTGTCATACATAACTTAGTAAAAGATAATATTAAATAATAGGCCTATATCCTCGTGTCTTTATTTCCTAAATAAAATATATTATCAAATACCCTTATCATGGCATGTTAAAAAACAAATATTCGCCGATACGAGTCAAAATATGAGAAGACAAGACAAATTCACCTTTCAGTGAAACTTTGAAGAAAAATGAACATCGATGCATTGCATACTTTAAACAGTAAAGAGTATGAGTGTAAAGCACCATTCGTCAGTTGCCGCTTTCTAATAATAAGAAAAAGAAAGGACTCAGTCAAGAAGTATAAGGAACTTACGATAACTGTAAGTGGAATACAGGTTTTCTAATATTTCTTATTGACAACTTATTAACACTTATACTCTTACACATATAAGCAGCGATTTCCTACACGAATTAAAATAAAACTAAAAAGTGCATTTGACGATGGTAAGCTGCGCTTGCAGAGTTTATATGTATAAATTAAATATGTGCTGAGTAAAATATATTAGCGGAATATAACGTCGACATTGTGGAATTTATAGAGACGAAATTTGAACGAAACCACGCGTGATTGAAACATACGCGCGGATTATCGATTGCGATCAAGGTGAATAAAATTGAAACTTTTTTATCAATGGAAAAAATTCGATAGCGAAAATTGTCTTTAACGAGACATACCTTATATTGGTGACTTAAATTGTACATGATTGAGAATTAGAACTAGTAATTTTCACGTGTATAAATAACAATTCTTGAGTCATAGGCAAATAAACGACTTTCGAGGTTTCCTAACCATATAAGCAATCATATAGTTTTATAAAAAAAAAAAAAACAAATATATGATCGCTGTGCGGAAATGATTACAGGAGATTCGCTTTAACACGTGAATCGTCCTTAATTTTTATTTAATTCTCCGAAAGATCTGCTATATGGCCAAAAATAGACACGCGTGATATAAAAAAAACTATTTTAAATTAAGCGCTTTGAATGGTTTAAACTAATCACATTCTTATTCAAATGATGTAATATTTAAGCATTAAGTTTTAGGTACTGGAAATTCTTGATTAGCTATTTTCTGAGTTAGACTTGAAAGTTCAACTTAATTAAAAAAAGAAATATTGCATATTATTACGTTTCTTGCAACATAACTTTCATACAACTTATCTTATTAAAAAAAAGATGGTAAAAAATGCATTTGATATGGTATAGCTTAAGAAATTTAGTTGTGTTACTCCCACGTTAACGAGAGAGAAAAAAAAGAAAAACCATCTTCAAATAATCACGTGCAGACACAATGCATGAAACGTAATAACTGTGTACCAATCCAGGATTATTACTCAGTATCTTTGTAACGCGATATTTAGGCAATTGTGTACTCACAGAGATAGGAGGTGAAAAGACGCACGAATAAAAAAATACAAAATTATAATCGATAAGTTGTAATCATAATTTGTTTTCAAAAGTAATACGCGATGGAACCGTGAAATTCGTTCTATACTCGAACAAAACGTAGACGTATTTTTACAATTAAGTAATATTAATATTATTACTGCTATTATTATTATAATTATAGTTATTATTATTATTATTATTATTATTATTACTATTATTATTATTATTATTATTATTATTGATATTATTATAGGGACTCTGCGTAACTTGTTTGATTTGTTAACTGTTATGCAGGTTTAGTCACGGTGATGACGACTTGATCTGTTCGGTTAGCTAGATAGCATGATGATGTAAAATTGATTGCGAATTAAACGATCGTATTGAGATACCGGAATAGAACCATACTTGTTCGCGCAGTAAACAATTTTACGGAAAAACCGTTATATTCCGAAACACTGGAAGTATGCAACGAAGAGCCCGGGGCTCCCGTTAGATCTTTTAATCTTCGTAAAATCCAATTGCTAACGGGATCAATGAATATGAGACTAATGAAATACAATAAACTATGAAAAAACAACAATGGATCCCATTGATTGAAACTAACTTAGGTATAAAATTAATTTAAAAGGAAATGCAATTTGTATCCGCTTGCTTGATGCGAGGAGATGAGATTTAGGTCTCGTATGTATGGATCCCTTCGAGAAAGACATTTTAAATATTTAAAAACATGCCTTACAACTGGTCGTATCATCGCTGCATCCGTGCATCGGACAATCTGAATTGACGTAAAGGAAGTTAAAAAGAAGTACACTGAGCAGAGTAGAATTTTGGCACGCAGGACCTGTCTCGTTGTGATATAATAAACGTCATTGTATTACTAGCCGAATGTTGAAGCTCTATTTTTATTAAAGTACCATGTATTATTAGTCCATACTTAGCGTTTTTATAGCGAATACGTAAAAGTCTTTTTACCTGTCTTGCGTGAGGTACGATGAAGCGAAACTACAATAGCGGGACTCGCAATGTTTCAATGTTGGTTTCTATAAAGTTTTTCGTAACGTCGATCAACTATATGTAACTTGTCGCGTGAAATATACTTTCTCCGGTTATTAATTCCATAATTTATTTCTTCTCGCTAATGCACGCAATTAGGTAAAAAGAACGATTATGGTATCCATTGTCGAGTTAAGAAGAATCGTGCCATAGAATGTTATGCGTAAAGAATACTGTCATTTTTACTGTTTATCTTACATTGTACACTTCATCATCCTTTCAGCGGGCGAAATTGCGGATAATACGGTCGAATTCTTTTCGGGATTCAAAATTACTTAACGTCTGTTTGCACGGTACAGATTTTTACGAGAAATTTACGCTATGAAAAAAATGTAAAAGATCATGGAATGAAGATGTAATTGAAAGAAAGCGTAAGGCATATATATTAGGTAGTCTTGAGAAGAATGATGTAAAGCATAAATGAGAATAATGAGCAAAACTACGTCGAAATCGAGTAACAATAATTTTCACTCCTGATTTTGACTCTATACCATTCAACCTGATCGTAATTGCTTCTGAAAAAAATGCTCGGACGGATCTCAAAAATGTTCGATTACCCATCACCAATATTCAAATATCTTTGAGATCGTCGAGTTTATTTTGTACTGTATAATGTGCCTCAAAAAATGCCCAGCGTTATTAAAAGCGAGTGGCAGTTCAAATTCGAGATAGTGATTGATTTGTTTGCAGAAAAAAAAGAGAAAGGAACAATAAAAGGAAGTAGAATTGAATTAAATGCTGCGAGCGCAAACATTGTCAATGAGATTTATCGTAAGTGATTAGAACGGTGTCGTAGTAAAGAAGAGACGAAGAAGACGCGGATTTATAAGAAGAGATCACAAATGAAAAAAGACATTTTGTTTTAGAATGTAGCATTACGGTAGTATATGCAAGCGCATTAAGATTCGACTAATTCAAAGAAATGAATGAACATTGCGCCGAGATATAGATAAGTTACATGGTAGCTAGTTTTGAACGGATGACAGTATGAATATTCTGTACTCTGCACGTATGTGTCGTTGCATGCCTGTATAGAGACAGAGGGAGATCAAAGATATAATCATTTATTTATCTTATTTCGGGAAGAAATGATATATGCATTTAAACATCGAATATATCAGGTGTGTACATGAGAAAATACAAAACTAAAAATTTTATTCTTAGTGTTATGGTATAAATTTTTAAAATTTCTTTTAAGTCTAGTATTTTCTCGCGATGTTCTTATTGTATTCTTTTTTCTTTTTTCTTTTTCAGGAAGGATGAGTTTTACATGGTGAGACAGTATATAATGCCTGAGAGAAATATATTCGATGTTGCTAGAAATGTATTCCCATTATTTTCATCCGAGATCAGTATGCTTCCAGAATCAATTGAAATTTGATTTTAATCTCTTCATTCCTGCTCCTCCCCTTCTTTCATTATCATTGAAGCATCATTAAAGTTAGTATCTTCTATTCTTGCGAGCGAATGATAAAGAGTACATGATACTATTAACAATAAAATTATGAATTTGCATAATAAAATTATCAATATTGAATCTACAATTATAAAAATATATATATATATATACTTTTTTTTCTAATGCATGTAACTTGTATATTAAGTCGCTGTCGTTTCCATCAAGTTTCCTAAATCATATCGTTTTTTATTGAACTTTATAACGTCCGTATCTTGTTTCTATTTTTGAAGAAGTCAAAGATAATGAATGTTAATAAAATTTATTTTTGCATTGCATGCTGTATGAATTTAAAAAAAGTAATACAGTTAAAGATGCCGTTAGCGATATTTTTGTCGTATATGGAGAACATGTTTTAATCTAGGTTTCCAAACTTCAAAATGAAGTTTTTGATCTTTCCGATAAATCAAGATTCGATTGAGTACTAACGTTTGATATCGAAGGATTAAAAGTTCTACTTGGAACAAAATTTTGTTTAACAGTTGAAGAAATAGCAGAAAGACTAAGCAGTAGCAATAACATAGCGCTGTGCATAGACATTTAAGTGCCAAAGAGCGACGCAATTTATGGGATATATAGCACGTGATTTGGTAGATTAACTTTTGAATGAACGCTATAGTCTTGCACGTATCGTTTACTTTACTTCGTAGCTTATCTTGGGAATAATATAATATTACGCGTAATAATGAATTTGAAATGATTATAATCTTCTAAGAAATGTTATGACTTCATTTTATAAATCTTTCAATGATTATACTTTTTATTATTTTAAGGTGTTGACAGTATAACATATATCTGTATGATGATGTGTCTTTAATTACTGAAGCCAAACATTCGCGATACGTATATTTAATGACACACGATAATAATAAATTTATAACGTATTTTCAGACCACGTTAAAGGTAAACATACATACAGTATATACATACGTATATAGAAAAAGCAATATAGCGCCATCTGATCAAATCGTTCAAATTCTTTGTGCATGTTTCTCTGTAACCTTTAAAGTATATGCGACAGCGTTTTATGTTGAGGAAAATTACGCGTATTTTAAAAACGTAGTTTAGCTTAAATCCCGTCGCTGTCGGATTTACGTATTTTGGTTGTTGTCGACGCGGGTGAGCAGCAAAAATTAAGGATTACGGGTAGAAGTGAGTAGGAAGAAAAACATCTTTGACAGAAATTCGAAAACCGAAAATTTGCGTATGTTTGCCTGCTGTTACGATATTCTCGCACGATGGTAAAATCCTATTTGTAATATCTGCAAAACGATTTAGTTTCATTTTATAACCAACAATTTTGGAAAAAGAATAGCCGACAAATTTTTTATTATTTAACCTCCGTTATATGATATTAAAACAGGATCGAGTTCGATACATTGATTCTATAAAAGTTTGAATTTCTGCTACATCTTCGGTATCTAAATCATTCCTTCGTTATTTTCCTTCGTTGATTACTGGCAAATTATAATTCACAATACTTGAACTATCTCGGCTTCGTCGATTTTTGATGACAAAAATTATTCCAGTTATTCGCTAAGACAAGTGTGTTTCGAGAATATGATAACCACAAACTTTACAATTCTGGAGGTAAGCTTACGTGTAATTTAGTGTTAATTGCTTATTGAACACACCAAAACATATTAATTTATTTTTAACATTTTGACATTTTGAATTTAGGTATTGAGCCAACTAAATTAAATAGAATTGCATTGGGAAAATTGGTTTTGCACATCCTAAGAACAAAATATCATCTTTGAAATCTGTATTACAAAAGCAAAAACTTGAGAAACAATGGATACATCTATACGAGAGAAGTTGCACACCTTTGTGGATGCTATAATTAGAGTTCCACCTTTATTTATCATAGATGAACTACTTAGAATTGGACTTGGATTATCTAGCAACAATGTTGTGCTACATAGTAGTGAAAATGGTTTTAAAATATCAAAAGTATCAGACAGCATTGTGGATTCGATAATACCTATTTCGTTTATAGATTCATTTGGTTTTGAATACTTTGCTTACAAAATGCACTTAATAATTGCACTAAAATTTCTATGCTGCTGTTTAGGTAAGATATTTACACTACATATGATTTCTATATTTAATTATTAGTAATTTTAATATATTTTTCTGTATGTGTATTTGTTAAAACAAAGTAAAGTATTTAAGATGAAAGCAAAGTATTTGTAAAATTAGTTAAACTAGACTTACTATGTTATATAGATTATAGACTCTCTTCGATGTTATGCATTTCATTTGTGTAACATTTCCTGATTTTATAGTTGTTTATTAGTCAGAAATTGATTGCAGTTTCCTATTAGTCGGAATATAGTTGAAAAGTAGTGTTTTTGGTAGATAAACTTAAAGCAATGTAGATTATTAGGAGTGTTAAAATGACATATCGATATTCAAAGTAGCAAGGTTAATTCTTGTGGGTCATTGCATTTGTAAAAAGGAGCAAACATTATACAATTGATAAAGTATTCATAAATCAATACAAACAGAACTAATGATTATTTACATTTTTACTAGAATCAAAATAAAATAAAAATCAATGGTTGACTGTCAAATATTTACTTTTCAGGATATATTACTGCAATATGTATATTTATGTTATGGACAAAACATCTTATCATTGTATACTTATATTTAATATCAGTAGGAGCAATATTTATATCCTATTGGTCAAATATTAGTACAATGAAAGCTATCATTACATATGTGAGCACACATGAATCAACAACTAGCATACTTGATGATATTTTGTATCTTAACTTGAAATACGTTTTAAATGAAGGACCAGGCTTCCTGATAATCCAGAATTATGTATTACAATGCTTATTAGCTAGTATTTTTTGTTATATTCATCTTGCACCAAAACACCCAGCTCTGCAAAAATTTCTTGTACTGAGTTTTATGGCACCGTCGATTTTGGGCATTTGTCCGCTCCCGGTAAGTTGAATCTAATGTATTTCGATTTAATTTAAATCGTTAATGTATTTTGACGTACTTGGATTTAAAACAATCGCATGTTTTAACATTTTGAAAATAGATTTTTTGCATATGCGTATGTACAGAGTACTTTGATTAACAATAAATTTCTTACAATTTATGTAATAATATGTTACATTATATTTCTCATAGTTTATATTCAGATATCATAAAACATAAATATTCCATTTTTACATTTATACGCACGTTATCGAATATACGTACATATTCTTTCAGACGCAAGTGCTCCATCATCTACCAGTGTTCGCAACACTTCTTCCGTTAGCTGTATGTAAATTTGTCATTTGGTTTAACGGCGTCACCATGATGAACACAATTTATATGGGTTATCAATATGCGCGTAATTTCATAAGCAACTATGGACTGTCCGCGCTCGTCGAAACCGAATGGATTCGATTGAACATTCCGTGTGTGCTACGCATGTTTTGGATGTTACGCGTTGGAGGACAAATGTTTCAAATCCTTGGAAATCATTATGGCGAAGAGACGTTCACCTACTACATAATGCTTAGAAGTTTATTAGTCAATGGCTGCGAGACTTTGACGGCAGTCTTAGGAATGACTAGCATAATTTCGTTTATTTGTGATTACATCGGTTGTTTCTTTCAATGGGTGCTACTTACGGAAGACGAAGAGGAGAAGAGTATCGGTACCGTATCCGCGATTTTATTTTACGTGCTGGCCCTGCAAACTGGACTGACGAGTTTGGACAGAGAGAAACGTTTGGTCAGACTGTGCCGTAATTTTTGTTTATTGTTTACGGCGGTTCTACATTTCGTGCACAACATCGTCAATCCGTTGTTGATGTCGCTCAGCGCCTCGCATAATCCAGCGCTTCATCGACACATCCGCGCTCTGGCAGTTTGTGTATTTTTAATACTGTTTCCAGTATCATTGCTGGTATTCCTTTGGTCGCACTATACCGTAAGCACTTGGTTACTGGCAGTATCGGTGTTTAGTATCGAAGTAATAGTAAAAGTGTTGGTTTCACTTGCGATCTATTCCCTCTTCCTGATCGATGCTTACCGTAGCGTGTTCTGGGAGCAACTCGACGACTGCGTATATATAATACGATCTTTCGGTAACACCATCGAATTCGCATTCGGTATTGTCCTATTCTTCAACGGCTTTTGGATTTTGGTGTTTGAATCTGGTGGAGCAATTCGTGCCGTCATGATATGCATTCACGCCTACTTTAATATATGGTGTGAGGCAAAAGCCGGATGGAGTGTGTTCATGAAGCGTCGATCAGCTGTTAATAAGATTAATTCCCTTCCGGAAGCAAAGGCGGAACAACTTCGAGTGTTAGATGATGTGTGTGCTATTTGCTATCAGGAAATGCAAAGTGCCAAGATCACGCGCTGCAATCACTACTTCCACAGTGTCTGTTTACGAAAGTGGCTGTACGTCCAGGACCGCTGTCCACTTTGCCACGATGTATTGTACAAAATCGAGAACTCGCAGAACGATAAAGATAACGAGGTAATCGCTGGTGATGAAGAGGCGGAAGCGAACGCTGAAGACGTCTTCGAAGTAAATGAAGACAGGTGAAAAGACGCATAGCTCTAACGTATGCTGATAAACTGTTATGAATCTCAAATTTAAAATCGTAAGATATCGATCTCTGAAAAATCTTGCCTAAAAAAATTTCGTTTCTTGAAAGTCGCTCAAATTGCAAAACTCTCGTACGAGGTACTTTAAACGTTTCTCGACAAAGATACAATTTGTCGGAGATAATAAAAAATTTTACCGCGAAAAGAGCTCTAAACTATATTATTTTGCGAGCTCTGATTCGTTATCATTTACGTTTAGCTTATAAAGATATTTCTTACGGTCCCAAACCCTGCTAATTTAGAATGACGAATATTCGCGCGTAGGCAACTTGCTTTTATACTTTTTTTAGCATAAGCTATGTTCAAGCTTCCGTACACTTGTTCTGCTTACTCTTCCATTTTATAAGATTCTACTACTTTACGACGACCATCGACAGATTCCGTTGATTCAAATTAAAAAGCTCGTATCGCTTGTCCATTAGAATAAACGTTCCTAGGTACGATCCAACCGAATTACCATGTATTTTATTCAGTATGCAAAATACTTTACTTCACGGCTCTGTTGTCGAATGAGAGATGATAACACGATCGTCGAAAAATCCTTGTAGATATACATATATATATATATATATATATATACACATATGTATATTTACACGTATGTATACATGTATTGATATATATTGACAAATACGTAGATATATACATATGTGTATAGAATAAATATATATGTATTTATATCTACAGTGAAATATATATATATATACATATATATATAAGTACGCGAGATTCCAGATATAAGTTAAACGTACAAGAATCGCTACTCAACCCATTTCTTATGGTTTCAAGATGATGGGATTACGAGATTAACGATTCTTAACATTTTTCGAAGTCGATAGAGGAAAACAATACAACTCTATTCTTTGTAGAACCGTATTAATCGGAGAAATTAGTTTCGGTATGAAATTTACATGTAACAGTTATATATAATATGTGATTTTCTATTTTAAACGCGCGCATTTTACTTCTTCCGAAAAAGAATAATCACTTTGGTGAAGGAAGCAGGGAGTCTTTTTTTCTTTCCATTTTAATTATTTTCTCTGTCGTTTCGATTGAAATTCACAAGCCTCTGTGATAGTAAGATAACGGCGAAAGAAATTATAAGTTTTTTAATTTATTGCAACAAAGCATTATTTACTTCCTATACGATTTAATAATGAACATATGAAGTTTTGTTTGTAAGATCAGAATATGTCTAATAAATGTTATATTTTTAAAGCGTCATCGTCCCTTCAATGCCCCGTTGATGTGTATATCGTTTATATCGTCGCTTTGCGACGGTTCACCTTGTAAAGTATTCTTCGTGCGTTCGTAAAATTAGAGCGATTCTAATGCGAATGATGTAACTAGGCGAAGGTCGCGTTATCATATGTAGCTACCGATCCTGCCAATTTCAGATTTCCTATGATTGTGCTGGATCTCCTAGCTTAATCGCAGATGAAACAGGCATCAAAACACTTCGTATACAGAATATCTAACTTTTGTAATTTATGGCGATGATACCGATGACATCGACGATCAGATGTAAGAACATTTTGAAGAAACGAACGATAAAAATGAAACAAGTAAGATAAAGGCAGGAGAGGAAAGCAAGATGTTAAATCGAAGAGAATTTTCCTTACTTCCTGTTTTCGATTACGACTGGAGTTAGTGGCAAGTATTTACTTACTTTCCCAACCTATGTTCCCCACTCTTCTCCTCAACTTTTTCACGTTGCAGTTGCAGACCGTTGCTTGATCTCCGAAAGTCCGCTACTTGATCTCAGTCTGGTGCGCACTGTCGCTGAGCGAGGGTGTTACTCATTCCCTGGCACGTTCTGAAGTGATACAACGAATCAACAGTAGACGAGCAACGGGTAAGTTAGAATAATTTCTCGTTAAGCTTACAAATTCATACCGGTGCGTGTATATAATTGATGAAGCTTCATATCGAGATCATGTAGCGTGTTCTACATTATTCGTTTCTTTAGCGTTGGTGATATCTTTTTTTCAACATGTTGTGGCGAGAAATATTGTACGAGCAATTTAGTGACTATTCGCCACTAAACCATCCGTTATTCGAAAATTTATTTAAGGAATTTTTAGTAAGATATGTTGAAGGATTTTAACTAATATATAATCGTATAGAAGTGTTTAAATAACTGTTTATCTGCTGTCCTATTTTGCTTTCACATCTAATATCAGCCAAAATTCTTTTAGATATCGTTTCTAGCATGTACAGTGAAAAATTTATTTCACATCGCTATAAAACTTGTTAAAAAGAGAATCAGAGTACAGCGCAGTTTTCAACGTACTCCGCAAATGAAATTCGCATCGACCCAATACCTTCTAGTATAGTTTATCGAACGCGTTAATTAACTTATGATACCTGAGTATAGATAAGCCGACTAATGACGCAACATGTGCTGCGTTTGTGCAAGGTATCGTTAGAGAACGACTAATCACGTCATTCTCAAAATCTTCCGAATGAAATTTCGCGAGATATTCTAACGACAATGACACGAAGCATCCTCGTACCTGTCGCACCAGCGAAACAACTTCGATCCCATTTTTATCGCAGCAGAAATGCAACATTTGCTTCGCTTCGAGAGTTTGCTGGCTAACCGCGAAGAATTGTGGGAACATTGGCGAAGTAAAAGTAAAGCAGCTACGAGTCGCGTTTCGCAAGTCGGAAATTCGTACGGTGGTTGGTCTGACGTAACCCGTTACGAACCGTTGCGCGTTCAATGGTCCATATTGCGCGTTACTTCTCAAACAGAATAAACATCGTCTCCGATGATTTAGCTATGCGTCGAAGTATCTTTCTAAGAGTTTCTTCGTTATATATCAGAGGAAGTGGAGACTGATAGGAAAGTGAAAGACATAATATCAGTTTGGTTGAACAAAAAGTCACGATCATTGGCTTGTGCTTCCGCGTTTCTTGCAGTTATTAATAAAAGCTCGTTCTCTGTACACGACGGGGCGACTGCGAGCCGCCTCTTCTTCGGCAACGGGACGATCTCACGGCCTGTAATCAGTCGGCGGATCTCCCAAGAGCTAATTAGAAACTTACGGAGAAGAGGTTTCTGTCAGCAACGTTGTTCAAGTCAGCGGAAGAAGCCTTTTCCTCTGGTAACGATAACAGATCGTTATGCGCACATACGCTCCTGCTTTTCGTCTACAATTTCATCCGTTCGAGTTAGGTGCAATTACTCTTAACTGCTTTGAACGAACGTTCGCAGTCAGTAGAGGTAGAACAGTCGAATATAGGATATATTTGATGAATTCTCGTAATTCGAATACAGAGTATCTGTGAACGAATTATAGACATCGGAGCCGAAAGTAGGTTCTTTAAAAGAGGAACAGCTTTACTGCCAAAACATTGGAGCCAGGTGCGCGTTTTCGCGCTGCGTATCGTGACACGAAGTTGCATGACGCCACGTCGTTAGCCAGGTATTCGTAAATGCAGCAAGTCCTTGGTAAAGTCTTGAATCGATTGCTTTCCATCGAAGCGATAAGAAAAAATAAATAGCCGGTAGCAAAATAAATCGATTCGATACGATTACTTTGAAGCCTAAAAAGCGAGAGACGCAAGGGAAGACTTTGATATGGCGGAACGGCGGCGAAGGCCAACGAAAAAAAGTGCACCGATGCAGCATACCGTAACGATCGTGTCTGTTATTGTCGATTGCATCGTGGAACGCGCACGTGCCAGCACCAAGTGCAACGTAAATAGCTTCCGCGATGTGTCTTGCGGCAAACCGCAAGAAGAAAGAAATTCTATCGTTGAAATTGTCAACTAACAGCGCGCAAATCTTTCGATACTTTTTCCTAAGTTTCTTCGATAGTTTTAAAGGTGTAGCCTGCAACGTTCCCGCTTCGTTATTTCCGCTTTGAAACAGGCTGACGCTGTTGTGGATGGAGCTTAATACTCGAGAAGAAAACGGAGTAAGAAGGGAACAGCGAAGAGAACGCGAAGCAATTACTTTGCCCCACCGTTTAAATCGTTCGAGGAGTTTCGTTATTACCTTTTTTGCGAGCATTAAAGTCGGTCGCCTCGATGGGCGCATATAGAGAGAGAGTTTCACTTTTCCCACGATTATCTGTCATCCAATGATTTCAGTCTATCGGTTTTTTCCTCAATTATTGGCAGTTGCACCAGCGGCGATTAGTACATACTCGTATAAGTGCAAGTGATCGTTTCAACCCTGAAATCAGTCACGCAACATTTACTATAGTATTCTGTAGTTCGATCGGGTATCGAAAGTCCAGCGATAAATTTCGGTTCGCCGAGACTAGTACGGTTATGAAAGAAGAAAAATGTTGAGTATATGGCTGGGCGATCCAGAGGTATATTTCCGCGGAAGGAAAAGTCTGGATGCAGCGACAAAGATTTTCGGTGTCAGACTAATGGAGCACGCCGATCTGCCTAATCTCGAGCAACTCATACGTCCGGAGACGTATGAAATTTTTGGAGACGTGGACCTCGAACGCATCTTGTATTCAATTAACTAGACAATCGTCTGACAATTTCGCAGCATGATAACAGGAAACGTTCGTTTGCAGCGAGGCGAGTTGTCTATCGATGGTGCAGTGTAACGAAAAGTGTGAAATCGTTTCAGGCATATGCCTTTGCAATTATCCGAACGTGCCATCGGTGACTCCAGATGATTGGCTGACTTGGTTGTACAGATTGTATAAGTAATGGAAACTATTTCTGTCGAACACAAATTTCATTAACCCGTTAAATGCAGCACTGATCATTGTTCGTTTAACGCGAATATTAAAAAGAGAAAGGTAAAATGCTCCTCTTATCTACGATTCGTTTGATAAAGGATCGAAGATGTGACAGAAGGAAACGCGATGTTTATACATATCCTCGTCTGGGACAAACGATATACTGGCAACTTCTTCGCAGACCTACTGACAGGACTCTTCGATATTACGTCGTGTTTGCAACACGTGATTCTCGTGGTTCCTCCTCAGATTATTATACGTGAGTCCAAAGATGGATCTTTCGGTAGACGCTGCTCAAAACCACCGGTGGTTTTAATTTTCCAGCTGCTGCAGACGTGTTCGAACGGCAGATGATCAGGATCCCGCAATACTGTGCCGACAAGCCGTCCGTGCAGTCAATCTACATAACCGAACGTCATCTAAAAAATCCCAGGCTCAAGATTCGACGTGCTGTGTGAGTTGCGTTTCACGCGACTTTCTGAATCGTTTTTTCTATTTATACATGGTGATTCCGATATTGTGCTATAGTTAGAAAGAAGCTGATCCCTCGTAGGTAGGTTGAAAATACACGGTCTTAAATTCACGTTACAATTGGAGCCCGAATACTACAATTAAAATGAAAAATATTTTTCAGATTGGAGTACCACGTGAACAAATTTTATTTTATATTTTTGACTTACTTTCGCGTAACAAATCGCTTGCTTCCTGAATGTACCACAAGTTTAGGATCACCCTGTATATTGATCAGTTTGTTTACATAGAATTTCCGCGATGGCATGTAGACAAACAATTAGAAATGAACGAGTTCAAGGAGCACTGTAACCTCTGACTCATCGTAATAGCGCACTAAATAGAAACATTTTCTTTCCCACGTAATAGAGAAGAGGATAACGACGACATAGTAGCGATCATCGACGCGGAGTCGAGCCTCGTAAAAGAATTTTATGGAGAATTTTACGTCAGCGAGATGATTCGCAATCCTGACAACTGTCGACGACTGATCGTTTCCGAGGATGACGATGGTTTTGCTACTGGCGTAATGTTTCTCAATAGCAACGTAGATGTAGATACACTCAATCAGAATTTCGAACTGCGACCGTACAATGGTCTTAGAAAGATCCATGAAAACGACAAATTTCTCCGACAAAGCATGCAGCCTGCCAGCAAGACGTTCTTCTCTATATTTTGGAGAAAGTCTCTCGAGGAATCAACGAAAGAGTTAGTATTTTTTATTATACTTCGCCGTGGGACATATCGAATTTGTAACTTATTCTTTCTGACGACTAATTCTGAAGGATAATAATTTTTGAGAAGTCCTTCTCATTGATATCGACGCATACGTTGCGTCGTCTGAATTAGAAAACATATTGCCACTTGATTAAAATTTATAGTTTAATTGCATACCAAGGCAGTAAATACTGCTTTTAATTCTAACGATTAATTTATTAATTTGTACTTTAGTTCAACGTAATTACTTTCACTTGGCTTGCGTATGCTTGTAAACGTAATAGCGTATACATATAGCAATCGTTATTTTGAAATTTAGAAACGCGATAGGAAAGAAATACAACTTTCCAACATCTCTAAATGAGAACTTGAAATCTATTTGTCTTGAGTAGATTTATCTGCCAGATGCATTTATGTCAGACATATTCACACCGCATTAGATTCTCCGAGGGACTTTCACCGGAAGAGAGCATGGAAAGCGTCGAGGACACAGACTCTAGAATTTCTGTAGCTTTCAACGATGAAGCGACGAAACTGATACCACCTACGAGAAAACTGTTCGATTCATCGATAATGACCTTCAGCAGTGATCTGCAATCGATAGCCGATTACTTCGACACGTATTATCGATCAAAATTGATGACCAACGCGTTCACAGACTCATTATTTACGATACCACGTGAGTTCCCAACGAATTTCGACTTCTTGTTCGATTTTTATTTAAGAGGAACAAAATCAATTGCGACATTTTTTTGCAACAAAGGAAGATCTATCGTTACCTTCGGTGAATCTTTCGGAGACCCAGTATTTGACAAGATCGATGTCCCTTTGCAGCCTGTTTATCACGGCGATGTTAACGCATTCGTTTTGGAAATTTTCGCGATGAAAGATGAAATAAAACGTCGCTGGAGTAGGAACTTCATGGAGGCCGCGTTCGAGTGTTTTCCCGACTTGGATTATTGCGTGATCCTTCTGCCTTTCTCTCATCCTTATTTTCCTCTCCTCCAACATTTCGTGGTATATTACATTTCTTATTGACACATTCGAGACTAACATATTTCAAGAAATTATTCTTGAAGTTATCCTAACGTTATCCGGACAAAGGAAATATAAAGAAGTCATGGGATTTATATTTAATAGGAGCAATGAATAAATGTAAAGAAGATATAGAATAACTATATTATTGTCGCTAATAATATAAAAACCAAATAACAGTTATCATATGATGAACTGTTTTTAGTACAAAAGTTACTAAAATTCAGCGTATTGTTAAATTTTATCTCGCGACTCAACGCCAATTCTCGAATGAATTAACTTAACAAAAATTAGCAATATCTTGACGCTTTTTTAAACGATCCAGCGTGTGCCACTGAAGTGCAACAAGGATTATCCGATGACGCTATACGTAATGCATCGTACTGCTCTTCTGGGTCACATAAAGCTTCGAGAAGCTAAACTTTCCGATAGAGACGACATACAAGAACTTCTACAGAATATTCCAAAAGCGGAACAAGTTTTAATAGACTTTGACATCGCGATGGACAAACAACCGTCGGAGATGCAGTGTTATGTCTGTCAATGGAAGGACAGGATAGTCGGTGTAGCAATACTTTGGTGAGCTTAGAAGGATGTTGACTGCTTTTTAGAAAATTTTTTACATCTCGATGAACATCAACGACGATATAAATTTCATTAGTGTCGAGAAAGAAGTCACGTATATTAGACGACGTTATCACATAGAAGATTACATCGCAGAGAAAAATATACCTGGCGATGCTTATGGACGTATTCTACATTTCATACTGATGCCAGTTTTCTCCATTCATCTGCCCTTCTTCTTCTGCGAGATCGCTCGTTTTAGTGGCATGATCGTTCTTTATTATCGACTTACAGAAACAGCGTTAAGTGCATTGGTAAAATTCGACGATAAAATTACATTTCCCCTCGAAAGTCTTAGGACACGTCCTACTTTTAATAAAATTTTGGTCAAACTTTTATTATAGCTCATGAATTTTAAATTGCATGTATTTCTTAATATTAATTTCATATTTTAACAGTATCGACAGAGTGTCAAGTTAAATGAATTATTACAACGTTATTCAGCCATGATCTCGTCCAATTTTAGAGCAAATGTATTAACTTTTCTAAGACTTTCGGGTGGGCAACAAATACAGAGTCGGAAAGAGGATACGCGTTTAGTTTCGTGGCTTGTTGATATTATTTGACTTACCAGGAATAGAATAGTATCATTTGCTTTCCTAAGTATTGCAAATATACGAAGGTATTTGCCACATTTATTTTATTGGTTGAAACTGCTCTCGGTGTTGATCCTTACATAACCGACATCAGCCTGAAAAATTCATCATCGTACTATGGAACATAGTTATAAAAATAGTATAAAATTCTTGCTGAATTATATTTCTTTGCAATTTCTGGCTTTCTAGGCTAGACCTTGTTCTTTAAATACTTAAAAAGGCTACAGATTGATACACAATCGATGCACAATCTGGAGATCTTGCAGGCCGTTCTGTTTCACCTGCTTCCAATTCACATGTTTCCTGTAAATTAAAAAGTGTCAGCACGACATGAGATACAACGCGTAACCACCTTTCTGACTTACCCTGTAGTTCATCCTGAGACGTACTGCTATTTTAGACTCGTACGCATCCTCTGACGATATGCTTGAACACTATGGCTCCCGTGAGGCCTCGTCGAAGAATCGAATACAAGTATCATGGTTTCGAGGAAACTGACGAGCCTATGAAACGAACTGAATGTTTTTCGCTTTTCATGACGTCACCAAGGATCGCATTGATACCAAAACCGATCATCGATTCGAGGGTGGTTGTGGTGGGCGCCTCGGATTGTGCCGTTGCATTCTTAGAACATCTTATTTTTGGGTAAAACTGAATTAAAAACTGAAGGAACTTTAAAGGTGAACGACAAACTCTGTTTTCTTAAATTTAGACAAAGCTTCATACGATTCACGAATATCACTCTGATATCGCCACACGGCTTACCTTTCGAGGACGAAGACGAAACGTGCGCGCATTTGCTACCCTTCAAAGGCCGATATTGTCCGAGGTATCGTCGGCTGATTGGGGCACGTTATCGAATTAGTATTGTATATGGAACAGTGACGTCGATTCAAAGGTATGGAAAAACAGAGAGGAAATAAAAACATCGCAGAGATGCGTTTATAGGAAATTGGAAGGTGCAAATATGTACAGAATGCACGTATTATAATACGCAAACGTATATAAAATGTCGAGTATAACACTCGTTATAGTATCTAATAAGCAAAAAAAAGTTTTCTACCTAGATTCCACTTTTCTAATTATCTTCATGAAAATATGAACTTTCATAAACATTCACGATCTACATTACAGTGTTAATGAAATTTCTTCAAATGTTTTCTATAATGACACAAATATTCCCGTGACCGATTGTATTGTGCCTAACAGGAAAGAGAAATACGTAACTGTGATGAATCAAGGAAACATTACATACGATTATCTCATCTTAACCTGTGGAATGCAGTATCAGCGTCCTCAATTTCAAGATGAATTGGACGAGCAGAAAAAAGGGTAAACCAAGAAGATAAAGCTCTAGAAATTAGAACGAATATCAACAATTATTTTTCCCCCGCCTAGAGAATTTTTGCAGCACGAAACACCTTGGAACTGTTTGACGCTCAATGACGATACAGAAGCGGCTATCTGTTTAGAGAAGATCGAAGAGTTGACGAATAAATTGGAACGCGAAAGTTAGTCGTTCGATCAGATTTTACGAAAGAAGAAATCAAACATTAATACACGACATTTTTCTAGGGAAGATTATTTTTTATGGACACAACATCGATTGTTATTGCGCCCTTCAAGGATTGCTCGAATTTGGAGTTAAGGGTTCTTGGATCACACTGATCCAACCGCCATTGCAAAAGTGTACATCCTACGAAAATATCTTCTTCGATGATTGCGAAGTACAAAAAGCACGCGAATTAGATTTGTCTTTCTTTAATCGTTCCAACGACACTCTTCGACTGCACTGTACAACACTGAGCAACTATTCTGTTGCTGATATACAATATTTATACGTTTACTGATACCAACAGCCTTATTCTATTACGAAAAGAATGTTGATCTTTAATTAATATCAGAATATCTTTTAAACCAAGCATTTTTAGAATCTCGATGTAACTTCGTTCTTTTATATAGAAATTCGAAAAACATATTGCTTAATATATAAAGAAACATGTGGCTATCGAAGGTGTACGCAGAAGTGATGAAGTCGATTTCGAAGAATAATATCGAGGTGCTCGTGGGTTGGGAATTGATCGATTGGCACGTAAAAAGTTTGCCACAAGGAAAAATGATAGAAGCGATCGTTATCCGGCTGAGAGGTAAAACCAGAACGTTGGACTGCAACGCCTTTCTAAATTTTCGCGAGAAGACCATCAACATGAGGATATTTTTGGGTGATTGCCAAATTTCTACGTCAACGAAGTTCATAATTCTGTTCACGACCGCTAACTATGATTCACCAATGCGTTCGATCCTTTTCAGCGATCTGTAGGTCTGGACTCATGTTCGACGGCCAGTTGGTCATAGACACGGAATTAAGGACAAACGATCCATCGATCTTTGCTGCTGGTAGCATAACTAAGTATTGTAGAAGATTCTACCTCGAAGCCTGGCAACATATATACTTTAATAGTATAGAGATCGGCGAGAAAGTTAGTAGACCAAAACGTCCTTGCACGATTCATAAATATTGCGGTTTATTGGCTACAAACTTTTCTTTTATGATCTTACGAGTTCTAATGAAAGTTAATATTTCAAAACAGACAAATATGCAGGTAACTGTAACTTTTTCTTCGTAATTTCTTAATAACCAAATTGATGGATAGAAACGTCAAATTACTTCCGGATGTAAAGGTTTAACACTGATAACTTGTAACTTGTGATTTGCACAATTTTGCTAATAATATTAATTCAATTCCGCAAGATGATTGAAATTTTTAAATCTGCGAGTCTTTTAGCTTCACGAAGTTCATTAATATCTGATAGCTAGCGAAGATTCTTCGATCGGTCATCGAAAATGAACATCGAGGCAGCGAGACATCGGTCGTACAGTTGAAAAGCAAGGAAGATCAGCCGATAGTCGTGTTTCGATCACCGAAAATCGTGGCCTGTACTTTACCCGGTGGTTATCGCTACCTTCACGTCGGCAAGTCTGGAAAATCCATGTTACGCAAACCTACGATTCATTACAACGTTTACGTGAGTTTTCATTGTGGTTTCGCTACGTTCTGCGAGGAAATTCGTTTAAGCGATCGTATTTAGGGTCAAGTGCTGATAACAGGCTCGTGTACATCAGAAATTGGCTACTTCCGCATACAACTGAATCGGTTTGACATGATAGAAACAGTAACGTGTTTCAACAAGAAGGTAGAGAGATATATCACTTTGCTTTTTTAATGATTTCAGAGTATGCGTAATAATCCGCCAATATTTTAGGATTTCGAAGTGCGTCATATGGTCGCGTTATACGGAAAGCACGAGAGCTTACTGAACGAGCTTAAAACACGTTTCGAAGTAAATTGTTTTTCTATGACGTAAAACCGAGAATGAAAGATCTAGAAAATAATTATATCTGTCACCGTGATATAGAAGTCGTTGATCTCGGACTTTTACGCGTACTTCCGGGAACCATGGGCCATGGCGATCTTCTACGATAGATTCGAGTGTCTTCGAGTGGAGAACCGTGCTACGCTCTTGTCGAAAACGGTAAGAGAAACGAACATTGAAAATAATCCATTCGAGAAACGAACGACGAATAAATTTTTCTCGCGATAGGCAATTCCTGGACAATCATTAGTTGACGATTGCGTGCGTGCATTAGTACAATCCAACTGGAATGCGGTGAGTCAAGAATTTATAAGCAGTCTGCAGATTTTTATGCAAATCAGTATTTTTGTATAATTTGTATATCGACGTAGAAGGTCGTGTCTTTCCTTATCTTTCATACTATATAAGTTCCAGCAAATTGAAAGTTAAAGTGAAAGTATCATTTAGATTAATCATTTCTTTTCACCGCGCCCCTCTAATACCTTTTTTCGCATAATGACAGAAAGATACGCAGTCTATTTATGAGATAAAAAGTTTGATTTTTCGTTTCGGATCGTGTTAAATGTCGCGTAATCTTCTTAGATACAAGACGACGATCGTCAGACCATCGAATCGAGATTCGCTGGCTCGGTGTATCAGCAGGAAATAGAGGAAAATTTGCTAGATCTGCTACAGTTTTCCGAAGAAGACTTGCCTGTTTACTGCACTCCTGGAAAATTCCGTGAATTATACGCGGACATTGAAAACAGTCCATTGTACACTGATTTGTAACTAAAGAGACTCGTAAAGATATTTGAACAGATATAGAAACCTTCTATAAATATATTATCTGCATTGCACAAAACATCCAAACATTTTATTAATACTATGTAATGACACGATTGTCGTGATCGTATTGGTAAAGTTTGAAATAAGATGGACGACTATAAGCGGATTCGATTCGTTGATTAAAATTTCGTTCGACGGAATTAAAGAATTCATTATAATATATGTTTTACCACGTTTATAAAAATATTCTACGGCAAACGTTCAGATACTTTCATGTATAACCGTAAATGGGTGATCCTATCACAGCTAATTTCCATTTCACGCTTTCTCGAACGAACAGCAGCCTTTTTCTTCGACACGTAAAACGCGTTTTCGAATCACGCGTGACGCCCGCCAAAACCACAAACACGTTACAGATCGATGAATAGACGCTTCTGATTTTAAGATCGCCTTTTCAATCGGAAACTGTCCTCGATTGCTTCGTCCGTGCCTGTTTACTTGGCATGCTATCCAATCTGTGGGTCAAGTTTAACATTCCAAAGAGCTGCTCCATAAACATACAGCTCAAGGCATTTACTCGCCACCTACGCACCATGAAACGACAAATACGCGTTACAGAAATGTCACGGCACGCCTTTTAAACGCGAAATTGTCTCTCCGGTTGCTTATCAGCCTGTGCGGATCGCGGATCCTCGGCTTACTCTCTTTGGAGAACAGGATCGCCTAATCTAAAAGAGAAAGTACGTTTGAGGCCTGACTTTAGCAGTGTTCGACCTGTAACACTTACACGTGACAAACGATAGTGAGACATTCTGTGTACCTAGGTACACTGTTCGAAACAATTAGCGAGTTGCTAGTATAAACAGTTTTATTGCGTCAATCGAACAAACAGAATTACGCAGGAATCCAATACTGTCATCCTTAATTAAAATGTTCTGCCAAGAATCTCTTCATTTTTCAAGATAGGTACGTTGAAATATTTGGAATCCGTGAAATAAAATTGTATTATATAGAGCATTACGAAATAATGATTCGGCATTTGAAATCGAACGAGCACGAAACTTCACTGAATAAGTTACGAACAAATGATTTAGAAAATAATTATCTCTTTATTCTACAGATTTTTTGCATTGCTAATATAAAAATTAAATTTTAGCTTTTGTACAGTAAATGTCATAAAAGAGGTTGATAAGTTAGTTGTATATTTACTGTCTTTATATCGAAGCTACAAAAACTTTTATCGATTTACGAGGAATTTCTTTTCTTGGCGGGTTTATGTTCTTCATAGTTGGAAAATAGAAACCTGAAACAGTCATTAGAAAAATGTACACATTCAAGCAACGTATATAAAAATCAAAGTGTGACATGGAAAATGATTCTCTACCTATTTCGAGCTGTTGTGCTACCGTGGCAAAATGGCGATTTAAATATAGAATAACGAGATGTTTTATCACTTACATGGCGCGAACAAGCGGCCAAATGCTTTACAGCTTAATGGACCAGTGATTCAGAACCAGAACCGGAAGCAGAATCGTATAATTAAATATTTTGGCAAGGAACTTTGTCGAGGCTTCCGTTAGGTTCGTGCATCCTATCAAGGCTATTCCTTTCCTACGTGTACGCATTGATTAACATTTTTATATTGCTACGCGAGCAAAATCAGTTGCGACAAAAGGAGGTAGAAATCAGTCGCGCGAGAACCGTGCGCAGGGACGTTTGATCTTCTATCGGTTAGGACGACATCCATTCGCGAAGATGAGCGTACCTAAGTCGCTTCAGTCTTACTTTTACGAAAGAAAGTGCTATTTGTGCGAGAAACACACGGTTTATCCGGACCACGACGATGCTAAGAAATCGACGCACAGAGTGAGATTCAGCGAGCCCAGTAAGTGGTCAAACATTTTTGTCCAATGTAAACGAGTTCTTCTTTTTTCATTTTATCTTATTTATTTATAATCGCAGCCACTTCTGAGAGTTATTAGTAGATTGCGGATTGTTATGCATTCATAAGAAACTGGAAAGTGCAAAATTACAAAGAATGCACATTGTAATTTCTGTAATACTTGATAGGTAAGAGCACTTACCTGGTAGTACGGAGGTTCTACCTTTTTTAATTATATTCCCAAAATAGATGAATTACATACTTATCATTTATCATTATTACATAGGCTTGTCAAATATTATATTGGAGTAGCCTGCAATTGGGTAATCATAGATACGTATAATATTTACATTGTTATAATGAGCATATTATGTGCAACAGATGTTAATTACCAGGTAGACTGTTGCCTCGCTGCGTCTGGATTGGTTGAAGAAAACTTATGTCATTTAGGAACTTTAAGAGATGTTTCCTTTATTACTTCCTTCTTATTTATCGTCGATGTAAAGTTGCTTGGGACTTTCGACAATCAATTAATATTGATTAGTTTCACAGTGATTCTTGTGCTGTCAAATATCACATTTCTTCGAAGCTTCTTTCGTACTTAGATGGACGTGGGTAGAGTTTGTGTGTCCTATTAAATAGCAGATGATAAAAATTGTGGTTTAATAATGTTAGTATATATTACATATAGATATATTTATTTATTTACTTATATCTACACGATTGTCACATATCTAGCGACGAGCGTTATTTTGTTCGCTACATTTGCGACTCTGTTACCCTCTATTCACTAATACTACGATACGCGCGTAAAAATATCGCTCGTTTGCATGGAACTTATCACCAAAGAATTCGCGAAGTCTCCCAGAAGGGATATTACGAGGAAAGATACAACAAAAAGCGATTAAAACGTCGTCAGAGAAGAAACAGTAGTTATTCTCGTTCCTATGTAATCTGGTTTTGAAATGTATCCAAAAGCACGGAGTCCCTGACGTTGGGTCAATGTCACGCTATTCTCGTTGCTCGTTTTACTCCCCAACACGTGGACTTCGCAGCTGTTAAATCTCGTGGTAACAAGATTTCTCTGAATTTAGCCAGAGACTATGTTGTTCCGTCGACTTTTTAAGCTTTTTAGTCTGTCAACCAAAAAAGAATTAACTTGTCACACCAGTTGGTCAAGTTCTTGGACATAATACATATGTATGTAGTTCTTTTATTTGTGGATTTTCTATCTTCTTAAGCGTCGTTATATTTTTCTTAACCCGTAAATCGTGCTATTCTTTAAATTTCTGGCGTAATAATTAGAGATAATATAGGAAACGCGAGAAATTTGTCATTTTCACCACTCTGGTACTAGCGTTTATTATAGTAGTTTCTGCTTAAAGGTCGCCTTGTTAAAACAGGCTAATATGGAATTAATGCGCGTTAAGCGATTCGCGTGTTCTTGCACCATAATAGCGTGACAGATACAAAACAACAGACGCATGTTTATGCAATACCAGTGTTATTATACAACTATTACGATTACCACACCTTCGTAATATAACTGGCGAATTAATGATAATGCGAGACGCAGTTATGTAACGAAAATCGATTTACCCAGTGGTCGGTTCTCTTTTAAACTGAGGAACAAATTTATATATCATATTATTAATTGAAAGGTCAGTTATCGAAAGAACTGAGAATATTTATACAGATTCATTAGGATGCGGATAAAATTACTTTATTTGATTAATAGTTTAAGGCGTATCAGCGCGTGTGTTCTCTTCACCATAAAAGGGAATATTCAAGACCTACAAATATATTCACGATGCATCGCGCTGATTCACGCGTCTTTTGTCGCGATAATTGTCACAATTTTTCTCTTAACAGCCTTACCTCGACAGCCTTGTGTTTAAACGCTTGCGAATGGACGACTTTTTTTCTTTACAGGCAAGATGTTAAGATCAGCTTCGCCACAATATCCCAGCAGAGCATCCGATGCTCGAGTGATCCGTCTGACAGCGGATCAAGAAGCTGTCCTCCAAGAACAGTTCAATAGATGGCCCAGGGCACCTCATGCGGCGGATATCGTCCTTTTGGCAGCCGAAACTGGACTCTCAGAATCCGACGTTGAGGTTCTTACAGTTCTTTATTCCTTCTAAGAAAGAAATACAATAGAGGTTCAGAGGAAAACTTGATAAATCTCACATAATTTCTATTCACATGCAAACTGCACCAAAAATTGTGATATATAAACTAATGACTAGACTGCGGATTTTAAATTTTATGCAAAATTTGAAGATACAAAAATGTGCAAAATGCATATAACATGCAAAAATATAAGATACACCTATAGGAAAAAACTTACTGTAATCTTTAATAAGTCGAAAGTCCATACATGTATATATTTATATAAAAATCCGCGGTCCCCTAGTAATAGGTTTAATAATCTTTGATGTTGAAGTAACATTAAAATCAAACAGAAAAAGAAAAGAAAAGAAATACAGTAGAATTTCTTTATACGAGTATTCTGATACATATTGAAACCTTATTATTGAAACTTACTATGTAGAATATTTGTTATTAACAGGGCTTTTTCTACGATAATTCTTAAATATTGAAGCAGATAAATAATTTTCTTTGTCTTTAATTAATTAATAAATAAATTCCAAAATAAAAAAAATTCTATCATTTGGACATCTTTCTCTCTAGTAATTCAGATATAAGAAGCTCTATTGTGTTTTGATAATATTGTTAAACAAGAAAAATCATGGCTAAAGATTTAATATTTCTTCTAGGCTTGGTATGCCATCCGATTAGCCCAGTGGAGGAAAGAACAGGGCCTAGGAGGAAATCTTGGTTTACATTAACGTTTAATATCGAGACATCTCGTATATTATCTTAACTGTGTACCTGAAAATGTAATACGTATAAGGATTGCCGATCAACCTGACAACGATCTATTCTTTATCGATCTTCCGTTGCTTCTAGCTTAGTGGTTATGCTCGCGTAGATTTCATTAATTTAGAGCTACACGACTTTTGTTTATATTAATTGTGATCGTGTAGCAAAGTTAGAGCGAATCGTTAGAAACAATGGTACTAAACATTGATTTTAAGGAGTAACTGTGAGTAAAAAGGTATATATTAGAACAATATTCGTAGTTACTGTAATAATTTAATCATTTTATCATTATTTATTCCGATTTTAAAGTACACGAATATTAAAATGTTCGAATGAAAAACTATTTCCAAGTGGCTCGACATTTTTTAATCATAAATATGTCATGCAAAGAAGACATTACCAGTGAGTATTAATCATAGCATACGTAAGACCTGAACACAGGTCGCAAAACAAAATATATTAGTTGTAACGTATCAGGTACAACAGACGTATTTTAATGCTTTTAAATAGATGTACTAAATAATTGTACAAAAAACATAAATTAAAATGAAAATGTTTGTATAACTCAGTTACTTAAATAAATGTTACACAAAGAAGCGATGAGAAAAGATAGCATGCCGTGTATCATAGATGTTGTTTTATTGTCAATATCATGTATCAGAATATACATGATTTTCAAAGTAGGAACTGTAACAATTAAACATTAAAAAAATATTGTTTGCATAAAATATACATATTTTTAATATACTAATCTAACATTACAAAACTAACAAGTTACAAAGTTAAACTATTCATCTACCATTCGCATCTTTTCCAATTGCATCTTTAATAGACTGTAGACCATCTTTTTTGAGTATATCATCCAATTCTCGTTTAATTTTTCCAATAACTGGTGGCCCTTGATACGTAAACGACGTATAGACTTGTACCAAAGAAGCGCCAGCTTTGATCTTGTTATAAGCATCCTCTCCAGTAAATATTCCACCAACTCCAATAATAGGAATGGTACCTTTCGTTCGTTTGTACATATCCGAAATCATTGCTGTAGACATGTCAGCCAAAGGAGCTCCACTAAGCCCTCCAGTTTCTTCTTTAAGGGCACTCGCTAAATTATTTCGTGTAACTGTTGTATTACACAATATCAAGCCATCCACACTCGATGATTGTTGAAGTATTACATCCGCGATATCCTGCTTCTCAGAATCAGATAAATCTGGAGCCAGCTTCAACAGCAATGGTTGTTTGCATTGTATGGATTGTCTGACATTGTTTATTTTTATTAACAAGTCTTCCAACTCTTTTTTATTCTGCAACGTTCTTAATCCAGGAGTATTAGGACTAGATATGTTAATTACAAAGTAATCTGCCACATCTGCGAATTTCTTTATTCCATCTATATAATCTTGTGCAGCGTCGTCCGATGTTTTATTTTTACCTAAATTAACTCCAACAATACCATCAAAATTCTGATTCTTCTTCAGTCTTTGCAAGCGTTCCCAAACCACTTCATGACCTTCGCTATTGAAACCATATCGGTTGACAACTGCATTGTCTTCTGACAACCTGAATACTCTTGGTCTTAAGTTGCCAGCCTGTGGTTTCGGTGTAACTGATCCTTTTAATAAAAATTTCAATATAATATAGGTCAATTGCGAATCGTTAATAACATATGAATAGTATTTACCTATTTCTACAAAGCTAAATCCTATTTTGTGCAAACCCTCTATTGCTTCTCCTTGTTTGTCAAAACCAGCTGCCATTCCTAACGGATTCTTAAATTTCATGCCCCAAACATCAACAGTTAAGGAAGCAGGATCATTTGTATCTTTTGCAGATAAAAGACCCCATTTCAAGATCTTCACTGCTGTATTGTGTGCAACTTCAGGATTTACAAACCTTGCAAGTGGCATGATAAATCTGTTATAAAACTTCTCATCGCCCTGGTAAATGCAAAAGCCACCATAAAACATAGTTGCAGTGGCAGTCACTTGTAAAAGTGATTTTAATTTTTGTTTGTTATTCAGGCGGTGTGACATTTTACAAAAGAAATAATTCTTTTACATAAATGCAGCTTCCTGTTGTATAAAAACATTTAACCCTTTTTTTGAGGTTAATACTATCTGATCATTTAATCAACATACGGTCAATCCATTATAAAATGATATCGTAACGCTATCTCACGTTGAATCATATAATCATCTAAAACCATCTAATAATTAAATTACATTCTATATTTAAATTTATGTATATTTCAAATGTTTGCAACACGTGATCACAGAATGACATAAACTATCCAGAACCATCTGTCGGCGACTGCACGAATTATTGATTATAAAGAACCACTGAAACGATTTACCGCGCATGCTCGATAAATTTGATTTCGAGAATTTAAAATGAATATTGAATCATCAAAAATATAATATTAAATACTTTATTGTGCTTTGCTATAATAATATAGCTTCGTAGAATTACATATATATTACACAAGATCTCAAGTAGTTACCATCACCCGAAGAACTGAAAGATACGACATAGAAGTTTTTATAATACTCATATATGTTTCCATATTGACTACGAAGAACTTTCCAGCTTTCAAGAAAACTGGATCTTGAGTTCTCATAATGACATAGATAATATCTTTTGCCACACATTTCGGTATATCGTACCAGCTACAGAAATACACCGAGTTACCGACGGCTTCCATCTGACGCTTTAAGTATTCGCCCACGTAGCTGTATGCAAATAATTGCAGCAGTAGCGTGCTCGATACTATAAATGACTTTATCGTCATGACGATGTTTCCAACGCTCAGAGCGATAATAAATTGAAGTCCTAAAAACAGATGCAAATCATCATAATAAATTAATTAAATTTAAATAAACTTATGCCATTGTGCTTCGCGTCATTTTATCGAGTGAGGTAAGAATGTTTACCGCTTGTACAAATAAGTATACAACTCGTGAATAGTTGCACAATCAAGATAGAGCTGATGGTCTCGCTCAGCATTTTGGCCAACTTCAGCAAGTAAATATGCCTCTTGGTTAATGAGATGAAATGTTCCATTGCTTTTTCGTTCTCGTTGTTCAACCTATTGAACTCAAGCCTCAAAATTTCTACCTGACCGCACAGGTGAAAAATGATACCGAAGAACAACGAATCGCTCCCTAATTCACATTTCAATATAAATAAATGAATTTTTTGACCTACTATGAGCACGTATTGGTATTTTAGGCCATTCAAATCCCAGACTAATCAATTCCATTCTGCTTCAACCTTTTAATATCATCGCTCAAAACGAATAGCCGATGTTCTACATTTTAACAACAAAAATTACAGGCCGGATAGTGTAATAATCGTATTTAGAGTTACTCATTTATCGTTTTAATAGTTTTAAACACTACTTTCGTAGTTGATTTTTTTAAACACTATTTTGAACGTACATTAAATGAATATTAATCCACATGCCAAACACACGCTACGTACACACGAGGTTCAAGTTCAATAATAAAATTTTTTCACAATATACTTTGATTTGATCTAATGTGCCATATCTATATGTATAAGTGAAGTGGCGTAAAATTCGTACATCAAGTTTTAGGAGATTATTGTAAGCGATTAATATAAATAAAAAAAGACATCGTATACCATCGGCATTTTGATCGGAAAATGAGGTTGATCACTGTATTTCTGTCACATAATCACTTATATGAAAATTATTCATTTCAGATCATGTGTCCCTCGAAATCATCGTCCAATACTTCCTTTTTCTATCGCCATAAGCAAAGGAATTGTAATTGCAAATTACCTTTCGACAAAGTATGCTCGAACTTCGTCTCTACATCTCAATTTATGAACTTGATTAGCATGGCTTCTGATATTGACCGATTCGTATAACAGGACGATTAATTACCTATATTTCCAGTACTCAGGAATAGCAGCATCAAGTACTCGACGATAAAAACAATAAAATGCAAATTATCCGGCATTTTTATGACTGCCATTACATTTTCGGAAGGTAAAGGATACTCCGTTATACTTTCCTCCGTTACGTTAACTATATCTTTCTCTTCCTCTTCAGCCAGCATAGGCACAGTTATGAAAAGAATCGAGCTGAAATACGCGAAACATATCACACTGGCACTGGCCACTCTGGCCATATAAGCGTGTTTTCGCATTATCAGTCGCTTCTCTTCGTCTCGCAATTCCATATAATCCTCAACCGCGGACGTAAAATTTGAGATAAGGGCAGCAGGCCGAATACGAAACTGTATAATCTTTGACGCTGCCAAACTGCCGCAGGTAATAAGTACTAGTCCATCCAAATTTTTCTCGGCGTCGCTGTTGTCTAAGTACATCTCCGATTGCACGACCGTTACCATTAGTAGCTGCAAAAGAATAAGAATCTTCAAACGCGTCAAATGCAGCTGTTCAGAAACCGTATTGATTAAGTGTACAAATTGGGAGATAAAAAAATCAATAAAGTTGGAAACATTGGCTATTTCAATCTATCTTTGAATTCTCTATTGTTTACACAATTTCTTTGCCGTAAATTTCTCTAAAATGTTCTAATTCTAATTTATAGAAATATTTATTTCTCAAGAAAAAAATTTCTCTCTTTGTGTATACTATGATATGTAAAATTTAACTTCGTATAACTCTAGAACTAGTTTCACCTATTTGTCCACTCATGCTTGTTCTCGTATGGATAACACACATGTTAACTTTGCAACAGAATAATAGCGTGAGTTTCATACCAAGAAAAAAGTCGCTATTGTGGCACGTATAGCGGAAAAGATATTGTAGTCTTGAAGAGGCCAGGTACCTACAGGCCACGACAAGATTTTCAACGGAGTCATCGCGTAAGCGAAGTCCTTACTCGTCGACGTTTTCATCCTGACTGGACGAAGATTGACAAATAACTCCACGCAATCGTGAATGCCTTCTCTTTCCTTCTTCGCACATGTTTACGAATTGTGTTTTTATTCCTCGGTTTATCTTTTATTCTATTGTAATTGCTCTATTATCCACCGTCCAGTAAGTTACCACTTCTGCTACATTTCCATGAAAATTGTAGTGAGAAAGTGGAGTTACTTTGTAGGTGAATACTTTATTATTGTTCTTCTGTACGGGTAATACCGCGGTTTCCGTCGAATAGCACCATTCGTTTTAAAAATTGATCTGTATTTGTAGACAATATCCAACTTATACGATAAATTCTTAAGAAGATCATGCGTTTCGAAAATTGGAATGTTATCAAAGAATATTCAACTTTCACAGCTAAATATCGGAATAGGGTTCCAGCGATATGTAAGCGATAAGGAAACGGGAAGAACGAAGATCTATTTTCTTATAACAAGAAGATACCCTTTTTTTTATAAGGAAAGTAGAAAAACTGAAACGAAGTAAATTGCAATCGATTATTTTCAACTCAAACGATGGGACGATTGCAATCAGTTTGTCTTAAAAGTGCACTCTGGAAAATTTCTTATTTATTCACACATACTGATCCGAGTCGTTGTACACTCATGTATAATAATATATAGCAAGCTTCGTGCGCAAGTATGTTTATGAAAGTTTGAGTCATAGGTTAGAGAAAACTTCGTTCTTCCTCATCGAATTACAATAATAGCGCCTGTGCGATACTAGCAATGCATGTCGAAAGGAATACATATCACTCGTGATCAAATGGTCTTCATGTGCCTCGCGTTACTTTCAAAACGGACAAATAAGAAGTCTGATGTCTGTCTTTCCGATTTCTTTGAAAGTGAACATATTCATCGAGAAGAATTTCTCTTCTGTCACGTAGTATAACAAGCTCCCACGATTCATTGTGAGTATCTTGCGAAATGTCCTCTCGAGGTTGATACCACGGCGAATTGCAGACGGCTTGCACGATATCGCCCGATCGAGTCTCGGCTGCGTCGTCAGCGTAAGCGTGAAGCTACAGCTGTATGAGCAACGTCATCATCAGGACGACGCCTTTCAATGCACTGCCTACGTTGTCACTCGTGTTCAGACAGGCCAGCAGCAAGAAATCTGCTTTCGTAATCAAGGTAATACATCGTTTACACGTGAACATATTTTTATATGAAATTCACTTCATACTCTTCGTAAATACACAATCACATAACTCTTTGCAATTTTGCAATTTTCTATATAATATATGAATAAAAGTTTGCCTTTTGAATTATGTTTGTTTTCGTGTATCTGCCATTTTCATTTCCTTGGTACAAGTGTTATATCTTGATCGTCAACAGTTCTTGCGTTAACTGAACTGGATTATCATATATAGCCCTATAAAATTACATCATCATAAACATCATTAAACATCAGCTTAAAACCATATCAGTTACATACGCAGATTCATCGAATAGTGGAAGTATGTCGCAATCGTAACAACTCTCTCACCTTGTTAGCTCCCCGATTCGCGTGATCCGCCTGAAGAATCGGTGACGGAGTGGGTGGTGAGTGGGGTCCCACTACGTAAGGATGCGTGCTCGTCGATCCCCACTGGATACTATTCGAGAGAATTGAATGCGATCCACGATGCCGGCATTGTACGTCTGGAAGCGATGCCGACAGCAGTACTGTGTATACGTAGTTACACGCAGATCAAGCATCTGTCAAACGAAACACGGTACGTAGACGGGAATTTGTAACCGACTTGGTACGGAAATCAAACCGCCTTTCGTATCCACGCTACGTACGTATCTCAAACCAAAGTATTACGGGTATAAACCGCACAGCAAACCACCGTACAAATAACCGCCGTGTACAGCTGTAACGATTTCGTGAGACAGACACGTGCAGTTGGCCGTTCGCACTTCCTTTCCACGCATCAGCCAGTGTGACTGGGACGCCAGTGTTCTGTGTTCAGAGTGTGCAGTTTAAAATTTGTAGCGAACGGTACGAACACATCACGGAAAGTTTGTGACGAGATCGATCACTGCCGAGGTCGAATTCCCGACCCTACGCTGTAGCAAATTTTGAATTCACGTTCACCTGAACAGAACGAGCTGCTGGTTCTTGTTGTGGACTAAGGTGTTGTGCGT